AGCGCTGGATATTCTTATCTGAACACTACTTTATCTATGTAAATGGCAATTTTTTCCCTAAGAATAATGCTACACTGGGCAGTGGTGGTGCACACCTTTAGTACCAGCACTTGGGAGGCAGAGCCAGGTGGATCTCTGTGAGTTTGAGACCAGCCTGGTCTACAGAGCGAGATCCAGGACAGGCACCAAAACTACACAGAGAAACCCTGTCTCGAAAAAAGAAAAAAAAAATAATGCTACATGTTAAACATGACAAACTTACATTAAATCACTGGAATTAAGACTGGATCTCCATCTGTTAAAGTGGTGTTTAGGGAAATTGACACCAGTTAGATTTTGGCTTTACCGAGTCTGTGATAAGACTCCTATGGAGGACATATTAGGTCGGCCTGTGCTTAGGAGGAGATAACAATCCAGGAAATACCCCAGTGACTGAAGCATTGTTCCATTGCTCCATGCTCTGGAGAGCACTCCCCCAGCTCTTCCTCCAGATCACTGCTGTGAGCTGCTAATAGTGGTCCCTGTCTGCTGGCTACAGGAGAGTAGCAGAGCTGGAGGCAGGGGCTCACTCCAGGCAGCTAAAGAAAGATTGTCCTGTGTTTACTAATAAACAGACTTCAGTAGTGGCAACTGGCCATCCAAGGACAGAGCTGTCCCCTGGGCTTTCCATTATGAGACCCTTGGGTTCATTTAATGCATCTGAAGTAATAAAAGCAGTCACTGTCTTTGTAAGGGAACATTTGCTTCTGAAGCGAAATGAACTATGGAAAGCTAACTGACCAAATCTGGGAGGAGGGTTCCCTCTTTGTCTCCATCTGCAAGGGGCTGAAAAGGTCAGCTGCTTTGTCCACTGTTAGCCTTACAAACTGAGGAGGAGAGCTGAAGTCTCCAGCAGGGAGTTTCCAGAATAAGAATCACTTCCACATCTCCCGGACAGCTGCAAAGCCTGAGTCTGGGTTCTACTCTGAGCTTTTCATGACTCAGTCAGAACGTGGCTTTATTACTATTTTTTAATTGGATACTCCCTTTTAAGTGTGCACAACTAAATTATTTGGTATTTGTTTCCTTTTCTGAGGGACTTGGCTGATACAAATCTAAATATGCTGGAAGATTAAAGAAAACCAATGAATTTGGTGGGGCTACATAGGATCTTCAGAGAAACAGCAACAGGAGGTGTCTGGAAACTCACAAGGAACTGGTTCCTGGGCTGATGGAGGCTGAGCACTGCAAGCTGTGGTCAGGAAAGGGGCCAGAAGAGTCCCACGCCACTCCGGCCTGCAAACCAGCTCGAACACACAAAGAGCAAATGCCCTTTTGACTCTGGGAAAACTCTCAACAGGCAGGATGGAGCCAGCACACACCTAGCAAGGCATCTTCTTTACTCAGTCTACTTAGCTTCATTTCTTTCTTTTTTTAATTTGGTGTTTTGACATGGAGTCTTACTACATACCTGGCCTGAAGCTCACTCTGTAGCCCAGGATGGCCTCGAACTCATGAAGCTGCCCTGCCTCTCAAGTGCTTGGGATTAAAGGGCCTTGCCACCACACCCTCCTTGGTTTATGGTTTTTAATTTTTTTAATAAAAATTTTTTAAACTTATTTATTTGGAGACAGAAGCTTGCTATGTAGTCCTGGCTGGCCTGGTACTTACTTTGTAGCCCAGACTGATCTTAAACTGCAGCTGTCCTCCTGCCTTGGTCTCCTAAGTACTAAAATTACAGGCATGAGTCACACACACAGTTCCAAAGTCTGGCTTTATATCCAACACCTCTACTAATAAAAAGGTCAGGCTGGTGAGATGTCTCAGTGGGTAGAATCCTGTGCAATCTTGGTGACCTGAGTTCAATCCCTGGAATGCATGTGTATTAGTTACTGTGTTAGTATAATGTGTCACTGTGATAATGCACCATGACCAAAATCAACTTGAAGCAGAAAAGGGTTTATTTTAGTTTATGGTTCCATGGAACAGAGAAAGCCAGACATGGTGGCAGGGGCAAGAAGCTGGCCTGTCACATTTTCATCCAATACAGGAAGTATGTGTGTTGTGGTGGACAGTCTATAAACAGTTAAAGCTTGCTCCAAACAATTGGAGACAAGGGTTCAAATACATGAGCCTATACATGTATGTTCAGATACAAACCTCAGTATGATGTAAAGGTGGAGTGAGGAAACTAAGCTCTGAGGGTTGTTCTCGGACCTCCACACACAGTAAGTAATCTTCTCTCTCTTCTCTCTCTCTCTCTCTCTCTCTCTCTCTCTCTCTCTCTCTCTCTCACACACACACACACACACACACACACACACACACACACACACACACACACACACACACGTGCGCACTAATAATAAAACTAAAATAAATAAAACTGGATGGGCAGGGTGGTGCACACCTTTAACCCTAGCACCTGGGAGACAGAGACAGACAATCTCTGTGAGTTCAAGGCCAGCCTGGTCTACATAATAAGTTGCAGGCCAGGGGTCCAGAGAAAGATCTGTCTCAAAAAAAAAAAAAAAAAATGAAAGAAAGGACACTGATAATCTCAAGCCAGGTGTGGTGGAATATACATATAATAATTCCAGCACTTGGCATGAGAATCAAGATCGGGAGTTCAAGGTCAGCATTCCCTCACTGTGTTGTGAGTTCAAGGCCAACCTGGATGCATGGGACTCTGTCTCTGCTACTACTAACAATAATAATAGTAGTAATAATATAGTAATAGTAGTAATGAAATGCAGGTTAACCAACTCCATCTGTTTTCTCAGTTTGGTTCTGAACTCAGAAATGTGATGTGGCTAATTAGTATTTTGAAACCCCCCCAAACATCATTATATACATAGATAGGATCCTAATAATAAATTTGGTCATAAATTCCTGATGTATATTTATTATATACATGCATTCATATATCTGTATATCTGTTCATCTCTACTTTCCTTTAAAATGAATTTAGGTCAATTCAGAGCCATAAATTTGAAAAAACTGAAAATTTGGAGACTTTAGATTAAATGGAGTCTGTAGCTTGCACTGGTGGTTGATGACCTAACATCTATTTTATACTTTTAACAGAGTCCAATTTGGTGTGTGTGTGTGTGTGTGTGTGTGTGTGTGTGTGTGTGTGTGTGTGTGTGAGAGAGAGAGAGAGAGAGAGAGAGAGAAAGAGAGAGAGAGAAGTACCTCTAGCTACTTGTTTACTTACTTTTGTTTGTTTCCTTTTTGAAATAGGGTGTCACATAACCCAGGCTGGCCTCAAGCTCATTATGTAGCTAATACTGAGCTTTCATTGTAACTCCTGACCCTCATGCTTCTGTCTCCGAGGGCTGCGGTTACAGGTGCACCACATCTGCATGGACTATGTCTAACTTTAAAAGCTTTCTTCCCCAGACTACCTTGTTCTTTTTTTTTTTTTTTTGGTTTTTCGAGACAGGGTTTCTCTGTGTAGCTTTGCGCCTTTCCTGGGACTCACTTGGTAGCCCAGGCTGGCCTCGAACTCACAGAGATCCGCCTGGCTCTGCCTCCCGAGTGCTGGGATTAAAGGCGTGCGTCACCACTGCCCGGCCAACCTTGTTCTTAATGGGAACTCTCTGACCCAGTTCTGATCAGTGATGTGTAAATGGAAATCCCTCAAAAGGGCTTCGAGGGAAACTATTTTCAGATAAAGGGCAGACTCATCGGCTCCAGCCTTCTACCTTTTGGCCTTCTTTCTTTCCTCCCTCCCTGAGACACAGACTGGGTAACAAGCTACAGCAGTCCTCTCTCATCACTGAGAAGTCTGAGAATATGAGAGACCAAGGTCTTAACAGTCTTGAACTACTGGGTCCATGCCACCAACTGTCATCCTCTAGAGTGGTGGTTCTTTCTCTACCTTCCAAGTTACCACCTTTAACACGGTTCCTCGTGTTGTGGTCATCTCCCACCAGGCAATAATTTTCACTGCTGCTTCAGAACTGTAATTCTGCTCTGTTGTGAGTCATAATGTACATAGCTGTGTTCTGATGGTCGTAGGTGACCCTGTGACCCTATGCAGTCATGACCCATAGGTGGAGAACCATTGCTCTAGACTTAGGCATGAGAATCCCTTTAGGAACAAATTGTCTTAACTGGTTCAGGCTGCTGTTACAAAATACCATAGACCAGTGCTACCTGTAGTATGGATCTAGCCTCCCCCAGAGGCTCACGGGTTAAGGCTTCATCTCCAACTTCATGTTTTTGTACGGTCATGGAAACTTTACAAGTGTGTCTTGTTGGGGTGTTTAGGCCATTGGAGACAGGCCTTTTCCTTTTCCTGTTCTTTTCTTTGTAATTTTTTTGTTTGTTTTTGAGACAGGGTTTCTCTGTGTAGCCCTGGCTGTCTTGGAACTCACTCTGTAGACCAGGTTGGCCTCACACTTGGGAGATCCACCTGCCTCTGCCTACCAAGTACTGGCATTAAAGGCTTGTGCCACCCCACTGCCTAACTCCTTTATAATTTTTTTGGTTGGCTTGTGTGTGTGTGTGTGTGTGTGTGTGTGTGTGTGTGTGTGTGTGTGTTGGCACATGTCATGATATTCATGTGGAGCTCAAAGGAAACTCTCACCTTTCACCTTGCTTTTTAAAAATTACAATTAGTTTGTTGGGTAGTACATGTGAGTCATTTCACGCATGTGGAAGACAGAGCACAGCTTGTAGGAATCAGTCCTCTCCTTCCACCTTGTGAGTTCCAGGGTCAAACTCAGGTCATGAGGCTTGCCATCGCACTGGCCTGCCTTCCATTTCATTTGAGGCAGGGTTTCTTTCTGTGTGTGGAGGGGAGAGTGTGTATGTGTGTGTGTGTGTAAAAGTGTGCTACAGTACAGGATGGAGGCCAAAGAACAACTTTAGATGTTGGTCCTCACCTTCCACCTTATTCAAGACAGGCCAGGATCTCTGTTGGTTTTGTTGTTGTTGTTATTTTTCTGCTCCTCCTCCTCCTCCTCCTCCTCCTCCTCCTCCTCCTCCTCCTCCTCCTTCACCACATAGGCCAGGCGAGTTATTCTGTGAGATTCTCCAGATTTTCCTTCCTGTGCCTTGCCTCCGTGTAGGAGGGTTAGGATTACAGATGCTCACCCTATAGCACCTGACTTATTTGAGTTGTGGGTATTCAAACTTAGGTCTTCAAACTTGCAGCAAGTGTTCTTACCACTGAGCCTCTCACTTTCCTTTCACTTCTTGATCATGAGGTTAGTGGCTCTCCATATCATGTCCACCCCCAAACCAAAAGCAACAAGGCCAACCAATCATGGACTGAAGCCTCTAAAACTGTGAACCAAAATAATTTTTCTTTTTATCACTTGATTATCTTACTTTTTTCTTGAGACAGGGTTTCTCTGTGTAACAGCTCTAGCTGTCCTGAGTCCCACTTTGTAGACCAGGCTGGCCTCGAACTCACAGAGATCGGCCTGCCTCTGCTTCCTGAGTACTGGGATTAAAGGCGTGCGCCACCACGCCCATCTGGCTCTTACATACTTACATAGTGGCAGAAAGCTGACAGCTGGATGACTAACACACAACAAAGGTGTGCTGTCCAGACTTCTGGAACCATGGGAAATAAAAATCAAGCCATGTCTGGCCTGTGTGATAGAGGCCCAAGTTCTCCCAGATAGCACCTGCTCGCTGTGGCCTCGAGTGGTAGAAGAATGAATGAGCTCCCTCAAAGCTCTTCTACAAGTGTGTCAATCCTGCTGCGGATGTTCCATATACGAGCACACCCGAATTTACACTACTGCACATGGGTCAGTTGAGTTTCCTCTAAGTCTGTTGCTAATTGTCACCCAAACCAGTTCAGGTTCGGATAACAGAGACCATTTTTTTTTTATTCTTATCCATCTTGCTTGTTCAGTTAAGTTAAGTGAATATGAACAAGACGAATTACCAAGGTAATGATTTCCACATCATGGGGTTTGTGAAGCCTTTGTTTGTTGTGTCCATTTGTCAAAGGGCAGAAGTGAGGAGATGGCGTATCCTTTGTGCTTCAAGGGTGTGGCTGACAGCTGCTTGATCAGTACTGGGGATTCTAGAATATCACAGTACTTCAAACACGTCTTTCTTTGTGAGACGTGATACTTGTAATCCAGGTACTATGTACCAGGCTGGCCTTGAACACATGGCAATTATTCTGCCTCTGGCTCCTGATTATGGAGATTACAGCTGTGAGCCACACCAGCTTTCTCAGAAAAAAATTCTATTTTATTCTAGTTTTAATAAAAAATTTGTGCCAGGTGTGTTGGCCTACGCCTTTAATCTTAGCACTTGGGAGGCAGAGGCAATCAGATCTCTGTGAATTTGAGGCCAGCCTGGTCTACATGGTGAATTCCAGGACAGCCAGGGCTATGCAGAGACACCTGTTTCAAAAAACCAAAATACATACATGCATACATACATACATGCATACATACATACATACTACAGAATTTGTTTATTATGGTATGTATGTTCATGATGTAAGGGCAAGACAGGCATGTCACTACATACATGCATACATACTACAGAATTTGTTTATTATGGTATGTGTGTACATGATGTAAGGGCGGGGCATGCATGTCACTACATACATGCATACATACTACAGAATTTGTTTATTATGGTATGTGTGTACATGATGTAAGGGTGGGGCATGCATGTCACTACATACATGCATACATACTACAGAATCTGTTTATTATGGTATGTGTGTACATGATGTAAGGGCGGGGCATGCATGTCACTACATACATGCATACATACTACAGAATTTGTTTATTATGGTATGTGTGTACATGATGTAAGGGCGGGGCAGGCATGTCACTACATACATGCATACATACTACAGAATTTGTTTATTATGGTATGTGTGTACATGATGTAAGGGCAGGGCATGCATGTCACTACATACATGCATACATACTACAGAATTTGTTTATTATGGTATGTGTGTACATGATGTAAGGGCGGGGCATGCATGTCACTACATACATGCATACATACTACAGAATTTGTTTATTATGGTATGTGTGTACATGATGTAAGGGCGGGGCATGCATGTCACTTGTGAGTGTGGAGGTCAGTTCTCCCCTTCCACCTGCATGTGGTTAGCCCCGGGAATTGAACTCGGGTCACCACACTTGCCTGGCTCGTGCCTTTACCCACAGAGCCGTCTCACTGGCCTCAGCACAGTTGTCAAATAGGAGATGGTGATTAGCTGTATTCTTTTTGAAATGGATTTTCTCCAGTGAAATTACATGCCATTTTTATGTTTCTTTTATGGTTTTTGTAAGCATTGAAGTTGGGAGTTGGGAGCCAAGGAATACCACAAAGTCACCCTAAGCGTAGCAGCTTACCTCCTGCTCCAGGGAAGGGTTTCCCCAATGCAAATGTAACAACTGTGCTCTGGCAAGGGAACTCCCCAGAGAAGTTCTTACTGCTCTGTTCTGGAGAAGTGTTATAGTTCTACTCAGGCCCCTGGAGTGTAACAGCTCTGCTCAGCTAGAGGAAGATTTCCCCAGGGAAAGTATTACACTTATGCTCCTCCCTCTGGCTCCAGCAAAAAGTTGTTACAGATAGGCTCTGCCCCAGAGAAAGTGTCACACCTCACAACAAACCTCACAGAAGAGATTTACTGGGAAGGAAGAATACAGGGGGGTGGCTGCCTCTAGGGTGAGAAGCAGCAGTGAACCGAACAGGGCACAGAGCTTATATAGAGTTTCTTCAGGGGCAGAGCTTTCCAGGGTGGCTTGGGATTGGTGGTTTTTTGTAGCCTGATTCTGGGGAAAGCTCAGGGATTGGTGGGATTTCATGCTCAGGGACCTCAGGGATTGGTGGAATTCTGCAGCCTGACTCGGGCAAGCTCAGTGATTGGTGGGATTTCAAGCCCTGGTCCTGGGGTCAAGTCAGGGGCAGGCTGTTTCTTCCTTGGCCCTTTTCACCCTACAGTTTTGTTTTCAAGACAAGGTCTTCTGTATCTCAGGTTGTCTTCAAACTTGCTACATAGCCAAGGATCATCTTAAACTTCTGATTCTCTTGCTTCTACCTCCCGAGTGCTGGGATTACAGGTGTGGATCACTGCTCCCAGTTACCTGGTGCTGGGTGTCTAACTCAGAGCTTTGTGCATGCTAAAGAAGCACTCTACCTACTGAGCTATAATGCGAGAGATCCACAGATGTCTGGGAGGAAGACTTATTACTCATGAATATAGAACAAGTAAATGCCACTGCTGACCCAGGTGCCATTCTGCCCAAGGGCAATGAGGACCAACCCCAAGCTGCTTGATACAGCTCTGACCATCCAAAGGAGTGTGACCCTTCTTCCTCCACTCTTAGGCAGCACATATGCAGACAAGACCATGCCCTAGGGCTACCCAGAAGCCATTGACTGAACGGATTGAATTCCCACAACAGAGCTATGTGCCCATTTCCTACTATTTTCATTATGAACCTTTCAAACATGCATGTGAGAGACTGCTACACTGAGCCCTGTACCTTCGAAGTATTAACTTGTGGCTAGTTCCATTTCCTATGAGTCATTGTGAGGGCTAAAGTATGTCAGGATGTATGCTTTCCTTCATTGTACAAAGGCAGGAAATGTATAACCTTATGGGGTTTGCCTTTACAAACCCCTGTCTAATGTGTTTCGGTGCTATTCTCTGGGAATCCTGGGTATGGACCTGGCCAGTATTTAATAATAAAGTTGGCTTCGAATTTGGCTTCAAAATTATGGTAGTGGTCTTATTGTTGTCCAGGGGAATTAACATTACCTAACCCATCTCCTATTTCCCATGTCCACCATGATTATTCTGGAGCAAATCTGAGATATTTTATCTGCATCTTAGTGTTGTTGGTCCAAGACTCCAAAACAATCCCAGCAGACACAAGAGGTCATGCAAAGCAAGATTTATTACTGGGCAGCACAACAGAAACTGACCAGGGAGGGCCCACAGCACAGACTTGGAAGCTGACTGCATCCTCAAAATTCATTTCAGCAAGCATTTAACCACAAAACCCACACATATCTGTGTCAAGTTACAGTTACATTTTTCCACCAATCAGAACTCAAAGATTAGGGGTCTTCCCTACATGTTCTATCATTGCCGACCTATACAGAATGGAAGCTTTTCAGTCCAACCAATCAGATTTATTTCTTCTTTCTGTTGTTAGGGAGAGCCATGATGTTTTTAGAGAACTAAAGATGCACAACAGACAATTTCTGTTGTTTAAGGAGGAGGTGGGTCAGCTATTGGAAAGTCCCCAGCTTCCCTAGGGCTTGGGAACTTGAACTTTGGTTTCACTCCACAGGTAAAATGGAGTCTGGAGTCAAAATGGCAGTACTCAGGACAAGGGGCCTTTTGCCCGTTCCCAACATTAGTGTGTATTTCTGAAAGTTAAGGACTGTTTAAAAAATATGACTATATCCAGATGGGGTAGTTCAAGTCTATAAACTTAGCTCTTAGGAAATGGAAACAGGAGAGCCAGAAACTTAAGTCTTGTATATTATTAAAAGACTGAAGAACCAAAGCAACCCCATTTCAAGCAAGCCACTCACCCCAGCTTGAAACAGGCCTGGGTTTCAAAATTCTCAGAGCTGTTGACATAGATCCCAGGAACCCCAAAGTACAAAGTTAGGATGTTTGAGGGACTATCTGGTAGCAATTGATTAACCACAGACTACCCCAGTGCTGGAGAGAGTCTATAAAGTTTGACAAACAACTGGTCAAAACTGCAAAGTCGGGTAACACAGAAATTCTGGAAAGCCCCGAAAATGAGTCAATCAGAATTGTACCCACACTAGCACCCCTAACTGATGTAACCTTGTGATTTTTGCTTTTAAAAACTGAGCTTGCAGGCTGGAGTGATGGCTCAGTGGTTAAGAGCACCGGTTGCTCTTCCAGAGGACCGGGGTTCAATTCCCAGCACCCACATGGCAGCTCACAACTGTCTATAACTCCAGTTCCAGGGCAAAACACCAATGCACATCAAATAAAAATAAATAAATTAAAAAAACAAAAAACTGAGCTTGCAGAGGGGAGGGCACCTCCACTAGCCTCCGCTGTGTTGGGGTGGTCAACGAGGTCCCTGCTGTGGGCTTGAACTGCTTTAATAAACCTTGCTTTTGCATTTCGGTGAGTTCATGTCTCTGGTGGTCTCTTTGGGGGGTCTTGCACCCAGGGCACAGCAAGACCAGCCTTAATAATACACTTCCCAGGGGCTCAGAAGAGAAACTACGAATGGTGAGAACTATTTTTGGGAAATGAATAGAAGTACACCAAGCTCTTTGTCCATCTACTTTATTCCTCTGGGATAAAATCCTATCTACACAGCTTCAGTTCTGTACTCAAGCCTAGTTCCTTTCTTACCTGATTTGTCTCTACCTTTATCTGTTGTCCCCTCTAAGTTCTATCTTAATTCTCTCATTTTAGTTCTGCCTCATCTAGGTCCTTCTCATCTCGTTCTTACCCATCTAGATCTTTCCCCTCTGGCTCTTCCTCATCTTCCATCCTGACTTCCAGTTCTCTAGTCAAAAATTCTCTCCAGCCAAAATCCTCAATATCCTCTCTTTGTTCTCCTTATACCTCAATTCCCCTCAGTCTCTGAGGTGTTCAGTTATAAACCCAAGCCCTAAGGATCCTCTGGCAGAGCACCAGGTTTGAATTCTTATGGGGTCATAAAGGCAGATAAGAATTTTCCTCAGGCAGTGGCCGGCAGGCTTTCTTTTACAATCCAAATGAGTGCTAATGATCAGTTAGTCAAGAATGGAATTTATGTGCTCAATCTACATTCCTAGAAGTGTTTAGGTAAGAAATTAGGAGTCTATTAGTAAGGCTGAAAGGAAGGAAGGTCTCACCCTAAATTGCACAAGAAATAAAGCTATCCTCCTGACCTAGGAGTCAGGTGCTATTTTATTTGGCCTTGGATGCTTGATAGGTATTATAGATAAATACACTGTTAGGAGTTCTTGGAAGCATGCATAGCATTACAAGAAAATCACTGTAGGTGTTGTGCCCAGATCATGACCCCCAGAGAGACCACCAAAGACGAGCATGCCGGAATGCAAAAGCAAGGTTTAATTCTGGATATCCAATACAAGCCTAGGCAGGGACTTCGTCCAATACATCCAATGCAGTGGAGGCTGGAGGAAGTGCCCACCTATCTGCAAGCTCGGTTTTTAAAGGGAAAAATCACAAGGTTACATCATTTAGGGGTGCTAGTATGGGTACAATTCTGATTGGCTTGCTTCTAGGGGCTTTCTAGAAATCATGGCTTAATCTTACTTCTAAGGGAGTGGTTGCCTGCCACCATTTCTCATTGGCTGCCCTCAGGTGGGGGCATTTTTATGGTCAGTTACCCTGGAAACCAGGGAGAGGGCATTGCATAGTCTGGCAGGCATTACCTCGTGACTACCTTGTGACTCTGTACTTTTACACTTCCTGGTTTCTGAAATCTGAACTGACTGGTTTCAGTAACTAATGGCCTATTCCTAAAAAGAGAAATCTTAGGCCTTAATTTTAGGGTAAAAGCATTTTGGTTTTATTTCTAAGATGGCTCATTTTGGTCTCACATTTCCCCCTTCTCATGTGCCTAATGGAACCCAATCATGGGTTTTGGGCAGTTAGCTCCTAAGTATCCCTCTCTAATAATGGCCATGTATAGTTAGCCATCTTGTCTCTATGCCAGGGAGTTTTCTTTTGACCCAGCATTTCAGCCTTTTCTGAACAGGGAACATGGGATGACGTATTCTCTTCTGGAACTGCTTCGAGCTGGCATTGGGATGCCGATGTCAGGGACCCCAAAAGGCTGAAAAGCTAGTCAAGGACTGGGCAAAGAGGCAATTGTCAGAAGTGTGTGGCTCTCTGACCCTGTAGAGACAAGGAACAATCACATTGGCTGGGCTGGTCCACATCAGCTTTTAGCAAGTCCGGAGTTCACAGTTGTCTGAAGCAGTGGAGTCTGTGACTGAAACTTGGAGGTGACTGCCAGCCAAGTGGAAATCTGTTGAGACAAATTTAAACTAGGAACAGAAGTTAAAATTTATGAACTTATTTGGAACCCTTTGGTCCATACCCTTAGTAATGGGAAAAGCAGTAGTCCCAAGACCAGGAGAGAGGAAAAATACCATCTTTAGGAATACTTATCTGGGGTCCTTTAGACCTCTGTGAAGTGGGTCTAGGTTTTTATGACTCTTTGGATCCTTTGAGGCCTACTTACAAAATGACATAAAAGTTTTAGATACATTAGTATTACCAATCTGTACTGAAATCCATATTGTAGACAAAGCAGGTAATGGGTATCTGTAAAACAGCAGAAGTGGACTCATACCTTTGAGTCCCAACAAGAACTACAGATTTGGGTTAAAAGCTTGTGCATTTTCCTTCTGTCCAGAAAGCCAGGTATAAATTGGATAGAGATTTTTGACCTGATGAGAAGCACTTTTAGGTTTACATTTAGACATATTTAGATGACATCTAAAACAAATCCAAAATGTTGAGCTTGTGACTGAACAGTAAGTAGTCATTGCTCTTCCAGCTCATCAGGGCTCCTAAATGTTAAGCTCTGAACCATAGAACAGGAGAGTAATCTGAAACATATCTCATCCTAAATTATTTTTTTGAGACCCTCAAAGCTTAGAAGCTTTTCTATCTTCAGACCTTTCTTACACTCATATCTGAACCTTTATGACTTAAACTTTTATATCTTAGAACATTTTCCTAAAAGTGAGCTAACAAGCTAGATATAGCCTTGCAGAAGGATCTGGTTGTCTGATGCTGCCATGCTGACAAAGTTAGAGCTGGCCTAGCCATCAGTACTATCAGAAATCTGAGAAGGATAAAGTATATCTGAGTGCAGATCAAGAAGCTTCCAATCCTATAAATTACAGGGACCAATCCCTGCCCAGGTCTCCATAGCGTTGGAGGCATCAGTCAGAACAGCATCAATCTTCTTTCACCATCTGGCCCATTATGATCCTGTTTCCTGACTTTGGCACCAGCAGCTCCATCACAAGCTTCCCATCAGCTCCTTCACCAGGCTCTAATGTGACCATCACTTCTCCATCAGGCTGAGGGATGCTTCAGAAGAGACAGTGTTGCTCCCGGATTAACTGTCCAGTCAACTTGATGTCCACATCTGCCTGGCCAGCCCTGGTGACACCATCTTTGATGTGGTAGAGAAGACACTCAGACATCAAGGGGTCCTCATTCAGATTTACCAGATGGGGAGTCTCTCTCTCTTTTTTTTTTTTTTTTTGGAGAGAAGACACCCACAGTACCACCATCCTCTTGGACAGCCACGCCCATCTCAGCCAGCAATGCTTCTCTCTCCATTCTCAGGGCTTCTGTCTTACATAGCTTCTCCTCCCAAGTCTCATTCAGCTCGGCAATAATCTTCTCCATCTCCTGCAGCCTCTCCATGGCCTCCTCAGGCCCAATCTGGGGCTCAGCACTTGGGGAGAAGGAGAGATCCAGCTCCCCATTGTGTGGAGGAGGAGATGAGGGTGAAGTTGGGGTGGGAGGAGATGATGCAGCCGACAGAGCACCTCCAGGACTGCCCTCTTTTACCTTCAGACCTCCTAGAGTAGAGGCTGGGAGTCCCTGAGCCATCAGCAGCTCCCGCAAATGTGTCACCTTGTCCTGCAGCTTCTCCTGTAGCTCTTGGGTAAGCCGGGCATTGGGGCATCTTGCCCTGTGGTCATTGTTGCCATAATCCAGGCAGAGACATTGTGGTGCCTCGTACGTAATATTCTTCAGAGACCTTGGGTCACTGCTAGGATCTGGAAGCCTGTCTGATATAATAAGCTTTTAGATCAACATTTAAATGCCATATTCTGCAGATCTCTGAAGTATGAGGGCTGTCTAGGTATCTGAATAGACAAACTTTGTTTCTAGTTTCTTGTTTCAAGCTCAACCCTGAAAACATATGCAAGGGACTGAGTAAATGAGTAAACTTATCCCTATAATATTACATCAGTACTTCCTTACCCTGACTACAATTAAAAAAACTTGATTACTTATGACTGACTATTTATGTTCTCTAACAGCCTATAAGTAGCCTAAAAACAATGCTTTTAAGTTGAAGCTCTTCTAGCATCAAATACAGGTTCAGTAAAGAAACCAAAACAAAATATCAATATACAACATTCTTAAGCCTGAACGTACCTTGGTTAAGGAGAAACATTTTTTTTAAGCCATTGGGTTTTAACTCTAAAAACTGTTCTTAAAAGATTAAGATCTCTCAAATGTCTTCTGTAATATCAACAATAAAGTATCTTCTTTTACTTTAAGGGGGAGAAAACATGGCATCATCACAATTTGTATAAAGTAAAACCAAGCTCCAAAGTGCAAACAATTCCAAAGTTTAATATCTGGGATTTATTTATAATCCTTTTAGTTCTTTTAATTAGAGACTTGGATGATTTCTTTGACCCTACCTTTGGCAGCACATACATAGCCTGCCTGCTCCATTCTTAAGATGAAAACCAACCAGAATTAACTTTCAAATTCAGTATTTGCAGGAATAAGAAACTATAACAAACAGTTTACATCACATCCCCTCTGACCTTCTACAACCTTCCATGTACCCTCAGTCTGTTCCTTTGATCCATCAGACATTTAGACAAATTCCACTTTTTCTTTTCTTTTAAAACAGAAACTCTTTCCAAAGTCATTCTTGTGATTTCCCTTGGTAATCTAGAATATATTGTAAAGTTACAATATTTTAAACAAGAACAGAAATACATGCATATACCATAACAAGAATAACTCTCAATTTGCAACCGCACTGTACCACAGACAAGAAACTATTGGTGACATTCCATTCTTGGAGTCAGACCTTGATCAGGTTTTAGCCCCAGGGCAGGTCTTGGGAGCCCCACCCAACAGCATGGAAGAGGAAGAGGACAGGGAAGGCATGCACCATGGAGACAAAAGATTGCTGTTAACCTCAGACTTTCAAGAACACGAGAATGGCAGACTGAAAGTGACTCCATGCCCTGGCTAGGCCCACAGACTTGTAGGCCACTCCTCAGCTGTGACCCTGGAGGGGCAGTTAGTTCTCCACCAGCCCTCACACTGAGCTCCTTGAGGCTCCTGCTAGCTCCTGCCAACTCTGCCCCATGTCCACACAGGAGCCCAGCCAGAACCTGCCGGCCATATCTGGGCCCCACAGTGTTCACAGCCCGCCCTAGTACACAGCCATGCCTAGTTCCCATGCAGCCAAGCCTCTACTCCATAGCTCTCTGAGCGAGCTGGGGCCTCGAACCCACTGCGTCTAGGCCCCATGATGCTCACAGGTCACCTAGCCCTCTCAGCAGCACCCTGGGTCCCCGAAGTAGCAGCTGTGCAGCCGCTGCCTGCCGGACTCATTGCAAGCTTTCTGCTGCCTGCTGCCTGTGCTCTGGTCAGAGAGAGCAAGGAAGCAATGAGGGAGTTCAGTTAATCTGTGCCAGTTCAACCACCAAAGGGATCTCCATCCCTTCCACTGGCAATCCGGCCCACAAGTCTCAATGCAAACACAAGCTCAGGCATAAAACACTCATACATGTGGCCACAGTTCTCACACATTTATACATTTATATAGGTATAACAAATCACACTGACAAACAAGATAGGCAGAAAAAAAAGGCAGACAAAAGGAAGAACAAGGGCCCTACAGATGGTCCAGCAGACGAGAGTCCAGAGGGAGCCTCAATTATGCCAAACACCGTACGGACAGGACAGGGACAATTCAGCAGAATCTCCCGATCCCCAGAGTTACAGACCCCTCACAGGCATACAAACAGATGAACCCCTTATGGGCATCCTAACAGACGGACCCCTCACAGGCGTTCTATGACGGGGGGACCTGTGGGGACCCTGCGTCCTGATGAGGGTTTGGGACATCTCCCAACTCCTCCAGGGTCACCTTACAGGCACGTCCGCCAAGGTGCGAGCCTGTCAGATTCAACCGCCGGCTTCAGATAAGAAAATGAAAGTAAAAGGAAAGCAAAGACAAGAAAATGGAGCACTCTTACCAATCGGTGCAGATGGACCTCCGGAACTCTTAGGGGTCCCGGCGGGGGGTCTCTGGGGATCCCAGACAAGCCCCCAAATGTTGTGCCCAGATCGCAACCCCCAGAGAGACTACCAAAGACGAGCATGCCAGAATGCAAAAGCAAGGTTTAATTCTGGATATCCAATACAAGCCTAGGCAGGGACTTTGTCCAAAAGATCCAACGCAGTGGAGGCTGGAGGAAGTGCCCGCCTGTCTGCAAGCTCAGTTTTTAAAGGGAAAAATCACAAGGTTACATCATTTAGGGGTGCTAATATGGGTACAATTCTGATTGGCTCGCTTCTAGGGGCTTTCTAGAAATCATGGCTTAATCTTACTTCTAAGGGAGTGGTTGCCTGCCACCATTTTTCATTGGCTGCCCTCAGGTGGGGGCATTTTTATGGTCAGGTACCCTGGAAACTAAGGACATTCCATAGTCCAGCAGGCATTACCTTGTGACTACCTTGTGACTCTGTACTTCTACACTTCCTGGTTTCTGGAATCTGAACTGACTGGTTTCAGTAACTAATGGCCTATTCCTAAAAAGAGAAATCTTAGGCCTTAATTTTAGGGTGAAAGCATTTTGGTTTTATTTCTAAGATGACTCATTTTGGTCTCACATAGGAACCAGCTAATATACATAAAAAAGATAAAATATCACCAAGACTTCTTAAGCCATGGCTTGACCTTTGGAGAAGTTCTTGACTTTTCCAAGTAGTAGCTTTTGTGATGGTAGCTGAATTCCATTACGTTTTCCTGTGGCTTGCAGCACTTAAGGTAATCCTCAGCTACATAGCTAGTTCAAGGCCAGTTTGGGCTGCAAAATATCCCATCTTAAAAAACAATCAAGGCTTTCTAGCTTTTTACCAGACAATTCTTTGTGGTGCCAGAGATTGAACACGGGAACTTGAACATGCAGGCAGGGCACATTTCCACTGAGCTGTTCCCCAGCCTGTTAGACACCTCCTCCTCAGCTCAGAACAAGCACTCACAGTCTCAACTACAAGCTGTTTACTTGGTTCAAGCTAATGGATAAATTCCAAATGCTCTGTTCAAGTTAAACAAAACTTTTTGTAGTATATACACTTGTATATATAAGGGTTTTGAATCAGTAAACTCTGCCTCATGTTCACTTCCTGCTGCTTTGTCTCTTTTCAGAGATCAGGCAGGAAAATTCTGGGTGGTATGGCTTTCCTCAGAAATTATGATAAGGAATCTGGGAGTGGTTATGGTGATATTTTATTTGTGCTGAAATGTGATTTTATTTGTATGTTAATAAATAAAGTTGCCTGGGGGTCAGAGCCAATAGCAAACCATTTAGCAGAAGTCTGGCAGTGGTAGCACACACCCTTAATCCCGATCACATGACAGGCAGAATCTCCGTGTGTTCAAGGACACAGCCAGCATGGAGACACACGCCTTTAATCTCAATACCAACCATAGAGACCTGGAGGTCTGTATAGACAGGCAGTGACAAGGAGGTCATGTGGTTGGGTTTAGAACCAATGAGAAGGCAGAACAGAAAGTCAATAAAAAAAATACAGACACACAGGAAGTAGGTCTCTTTTCTCAGGGGAAGGATGGCAGTGGCTGGTAAGCTAAGGGCTATTCGCTAGTGCTCTGACTTCTTGGGCTTTTAACTCTGCATTTGGCTCTATGTTTCTTATTTAATAAGACCGTTCAGAATTACAACTACAATTGGTAGTGTTAGGATTCTTCCACTCCAGCTGCATGACCGCACATGTGCAGTTCAGTAGCTAAGCAAGGGGTCTTAAGTCCTATGTCATCAGTGCGCTGCATGATCACGCAAATGCACAGAGCCATCACATGATCAGTGCATGTGTGGCATAGTTCCGTAAGCCCACCTGCGCGTGGGCAGGGGAATCCTTAAAAAGTTGGACACAGACTCCTCCCCTCTATCCTCTCTTTTCTCTCCTCCCCCCACTCTCTCTATCTCCCTCTCTCTCTGCTCTCTGCACGTGCTTCTTCCCCAGGCCTGGTTCTTCTGCACCCCCCCTCCTCCTAACAAAGCTCTGATTCTGGGTTTTGCTGTGGCTCACGCCTCATGACCTTTTCACACGGTAACCAGCGCCGCTTATTATTTTTAAAACAACATTGGTGCTGTGACGAGACAGGCTCTCCTGGTGCTCTGCGCCTGGGGCTCTGTGTCCAGGATCCTATACCAAGGTTCATTGGACCTGCGATTGCCTGCTCCACTCTTTTCATTTGCCCAGCTGCCTGACCGCTCCACACAACACACCTTCTAACCAGATTGGTGAGTTTCCTCTTTCTGATCCCTTGACATTTCCTGTGACTATAGCCCAAGATACATTCCTCACGCCTGACCCCCTTGGGGGGTCCTCAGCTGTGTACCATAATACATTATCTCTTGATGAAGTATTGAATGCTGTCTGGACTCCCAAGGAGTCCTCTGGTACATATGCCCCCCAGCCCTTGCACCTCCCATGATGATGGGTATGGTAACTTGTGCTGATGCTGGTCCACAGATTACCTGCCCTCGGGGACACCCAGGATGGGAGTCTGGGATCCCATTTGTTATTTTAATTTTTTATTTTTTTCTTTCGGCTGCAGTCATGGGACATGGAGGCTTCCTCCTCTTGGATCCGCTCCTCCTCTGACAAATACCTTAAATATCCCCAGATACCAGTAAATTTGGCCACATAACAGCTGCTTGAACCCCAATATTTCACAGGAATTATCTAACTTTTGCCAACAGACAGGCAAATGAAAAGAATTACCTTATCCTCACGCTTTTACCTAAGCTCTAAACCCTCCCTTTCTGATTCTCTCTCTCCTGCCCACTTGTATTCCTGAACCTAAGGAATCTCTTACTCAAAAGAACCTTATCTTATCTGTTCTCTTCTCTGTTCTCTGGTACCAGGCAGGCTGCTAAGCACAGAGAGGTCTGGAAGCAGGCTAGGACGCATGCAAATAAGTTTATGATCAGGACCCACATTGGGATCATAATAATCTGGATGGTTTTTAGCCAGAGATCAGTTTACAGCCTCTCTCCTGTCAGGTCTTCCTAAAGCTGTCCTCAAACCATTGGGATCATAATAATCTGGATGGCTCTTTAGCCAGAGATCAGTTTACAGCCTGCCTCCTGGCGGGTTATCCTAAAGCTGTCCTCAAGCCAGCAAACTATCAAAAAAAAAAAAAAATTCATGACACAGAATAAAATCTGTCTCTTGTCTTCCAGAGCTCCCTGACATTAGGGCTAAAACTTAAGCATCTGGAGAGCAAGGCTTCTGACCCCACAGGCAGAAGTTTCAGCTGTGGCATTTAAGGTACCATGGGACAGATAAGAAAGCCTGTGAACAGAATTGCCAAGTGCTGGCACATGCTATCTGAGCGGCTGGATAAGGGCTTCCAGATCTCTGTTTTAGAAAGCCATGTGGGCTAGTGCATGCCCTGCTGGGCCATCAACTGAGTCTTGTTTGAAGTGCCACCTAGAGAGTTAACTGGTCAGTTGACTGCCCCTGTGCACCTCAGGGCATGGGGACATCAAACTAAGACCTCCAGCAGACCTCCTAGGCCTGGCCACAGGCTCACAGGGAACCCAAGACGTAGCATGGGCGATCCATTTCCTTCCTTTGGACACCACCAAGCCATTTACTCAATCCTGAGGGAGTTTTGGGGGTCCCACCTCTCCTCATTTCCCTATTGTCGGGGTAGGGGGAAGCCTCACCCACCTCACCAGACTTAATTGTATTTTCAGGGTTACTTAATAGGAAAAGATTTTCCAGCTAAGGTAGGAGCTTTCATTTCATTTGCTCCCCCCATGTGCCTCACTCCAGACCAGTCAGTGGTGCCTCTTCTCCTCCTCATGCACATAGACAGGGCCCTGCTCTCTCTCAAGTTCCAGAGGACATCAGAATCTACTGCCTTGTCACCAATTCCAGAAGAATGAGGTTTTACCCCAGAAGCTTTTCCCTTCCTGGTTCCCTCTTCTAATTAACTACTCAGCTAATTGTTATAGGATCACCATAGAGTTGGAGTCCAAGGACCATCAGATATACCCAGGTGGTGAGGAACAACCCCAGACCCAAAAGTGTCTGGGCTCTGCAAAAACAGACTTTAATATAACCATCTATTACCATTAAATGCTCTCAACAATTGATCACCTGTGTCTCCTGGATGCTAAACTAATAAAGGAAATAGGTGCCTTAAAATAATCTGTCTCTGATAAAGCTTATCTCAGGTAAAAATTAAAAACATATTTCAACCTCTCTGTCTCTCTCATTGACAGTAACCAATATAAGCAGAGTACCAAACACTACAATGGTCACCAGCCCAAGACTGCTTCTTAATATATTCAAAATTTTTTCTAAGCTGCAGAAACCAGCTTAAATCCCTCTGGACAGGTCAGATCTACTTCAGGTAAGTGCCAAACCCAAACTTTCCTGGTCTCGGGACCCCCTCTATTACCCTGGGAACCCCCTATGGGAAAAAAATTCTTTCTTCTAAGCTTTTCTCTGTCTCTCCAGCATCCTGTCAGACACAAGCAGCCGGAGTGCCCAGCCAAGAAAGATGAACAGCTCCAAGGCAGCAGACAACAGCCCACCATCCCAAGATGCCTGTCTACCTCAGAAGTCCCCTTCCCTACCCTCCAAGAGTCAATTGATGCCCACCAAGTCAGCTGGAAGCAGTTTTTTTCCGGGAGAAAAGACATCCCCATTCCTGTTTACCCGCTTTTTTATAATAAGCAAAAACTCTGGAATGTTAGGATTCTGCCCTACTCCAGCTGCATGACCACACATGCACAGTTCAGGAGCTAAGCAAGAGATCTTGCATCTTACATCATCCGTGTGCTGCATGATTGCACAAATGTGTGCAGCATGGTCATGCAATCAGTGCATGCCTGGTTAGCATGCCTCCATTAGCCCACCTGTTCATGTACATTGTCATCCTCTCTCCTTTCTGCTCTCTCCTCCCCCACTTTCTGCTCTCTGCACATGCTTCTTCCCCAGACCTGGTTCCTTTGTCCCCGCTTTCTCCTAATAAAGCTCTGATACTGGGTTTTGTTGTGTCTCATGACCTTTTCGCCCAGTAACCAGTGCCACTTAGTTTATCATTTTTTAAAACAACAGGTGGTCCACACCTTTAGCTCCAGCACTCCAGAGGCAGAGGCAGGTGGATCTCTGTGAGTTCAAGGCCAGCCTGGTCTATATATGTCATTCCAGGCCAGCCAGAGCTATATAGTAAGACCCTATTTCAAAGAAAAAAAAACCAACAAAAACCAACCAACCAAACAAAATATTACTAAAGAAAACATGATTAATTGTAGCCAGTGGTCAGGGAACACAGGTATGTTATACATACTCAGAGACTAGTTTTTGTCTTACACACACACACACACACACACACACACACACACACACACACACACTTGTTTTCTTTTCTTTTACTTGAGAAAGGTTAGCCTCAAACTCCTATGCAGCTGAGGATGACCCTGAATTCCTGGTCCTTTTGTTTGTACCTCCCAAGTGCTGGGACTACAGGCATGTGTTACCATATTAGACTCATGATAGTTCATTTTATATCAAGTTTCTCAAAATGACCCTTTAATAAGAAAATATTGAGGTTTCAAAGATGAGATTGGAGCACTTTTTATGGCATTAGGAAAAATAAACTATATTGTGAGTCTAAGGATTACATGTCATTCATTTTGACCTTGAAAATGATCAAGTAAAGAAAAGTAGATAAATGATGTCTTAGTTACTGTTCTATAGCTTTGATGAGACACTATGATCAAGGCAGATTATACAAGTAAGAGTTTATTTGGGGATTACAGTTTCAGAGGCTGAGTCCATGACTGTCATGAAGGGGAGCATGGCAGCAAGCAGCAGGTATTGTGTTGGAGCAGTAGCTGAAAGCTCACATCCTGAGACATCAGCCACAAGGCAGAGAGTGACATTGGCAACTCTTGAAACATCACAGCCAGCACCCAACAAGGCTACACCTCTTTATCCTTCCAAAACCAAGGCAAACTTCCCCAACAGTTTCACCAACTCTAGACCGAGCATTCAAATAAATGAGCCTATGGGGATCCCTCTCATTCAAACTACCACATTCCATTCTCTGGCCAACATAAGCTTGTGGTCAAATCATAATGCAAAATACATTTAGTCCACTTCAAAAGTCCCATAGTCTTTCACAGTCTCAGCACAGTTTAAAAGTCCAAACTCTCTTCTGAGATTCAAGGCAATCTCTTAATTGTAACCTCCTGTAAAGTCAAAATCAAAAAGTAAATTTCCTACTTCCACCTTATAATGGCATAGAATATACATTGCCATTCCAAAAGGAGGGATGGGTAAATAGTGATGAAATCCTGGACCAAAGCAAGATCAAAATCCAGCAGGGCAGACTCCAACTCCTGCAGCTCCATATCTGATGTCAAAAAGGGCTTAGCTGGCTTTGCCCTTCCAGCTTTTCTGAGTGCCAGACATGCCTCTCTCTTGGGTTACATCTACTCCTTGTACTGAGTTCTCCTTCACAGATATCCCACAGCTCTGGCATCTCCAACATATTCTATGCTTCCCTTTCATCTTTTCACAGAATGGCATCTCAGGACTTCCATGCAGGGAACTCCCCTGCCCTGCCTGGCCTCAGCAGCTCTCCTTAACCACAGAGAAAGATTCCTCACCCTCTTCACTCCTGTATCCTTCATGACTCTAAAGTCAGAACCAGATGTGTGGGACTGCCAAGTCTGACTACCATCTTGGTGTGAACACTGGTACCTGTGAATCTATCTCATTTGCAGCAGCTTTAGACTTGTTGCTTATTATGAACAGAAAATTCCTCAGGCCTCCCTTTTATAAGTTGGAAGCTTAGTTGAATGGGGTCTTGCCATGGAGGCATCCTTTCCTTTATTCTATTTTGAATTAGGTCTTTCTTTAATCTTTCATCATTTTCAGCACAAGCCTTGGCTCCAACATTAAATTTTCTGGTGTTCTTTTTCTCCTCAAACACAAAGTTTGTATTTTTTCATCACTTTGCTGTTTTTCATCATATACCTGAATAAGAGTTAATTCTAGTAACTATGTGATAGAATCAATATCAGGCCATCTTGAAATCTCCTTAGCGAAAGAAATTAGTTCATTACTTTTCAATTTAGCCTCAAGCAGACTCTTAGGACAAGGGCAGAAAACAGTTACATTCTTTGCCAATATATCACAAGAATAGTCTCCAGCTCCTTGCTAATACTGCTCTTCTCTGAAACCTCTTAAGGTGGGCCTCCATAGTCCATATTGTTCTCAGCACTCTTGTCTTCCAAGCTCCTGCTAGGATGGCCTGCCAAGTCCCACTTACAGTGTTCAAGTATTTTCACAGTCCAAAGTCCCATAGTCTTCTCCATTCCTTTGAAAACCAGTACGGTCAGGTCTGTCACAGCAATACTCAACTCTTGGTACCAACTTCTTAGTTACTTTTCTATTGCTGTGATCATACCATGACCATGGCTATTCATAGAAGCAAGAGCTTATTTGGGGCTTACAATTTCAGAGGGTGAGTCCATGACCATGGAGGTGAGCATGGCAGCAGGAGGCAGGTATGGTGCTAGAACAGTAACTGAGAGCTCACATCTTGAGACACAACCATGAGGCAGAGAGAACAACACTGGGGATGGCTGGATTTTGAAAAGCCTGCATCCAGTGACATGACAGCTCCAACAAGGCCGCACCTTTTACTCCTTCCCAAACAGTTCCATCAACTAGGGACCAACTATTCAAACATATGAACCTATGGGGGCTGTTCTTATTTCACAAATACAATATTTAAAACTTATAGGCAACAATACCAGTATATTATTATGGAAGGGCTACACTCAGTAGAAAGTACAGTTACACAATTTATCTAATGATTAACTGAGTTATGGTGCTCACTGACAATGAAGACAAGTCTTTCTTAATTGCTATATATTTACATTGTATAATATATATATATAATATAGCATATATTATCTTTCATTACAAATATATTCAAAGAGGCTGGAGAGATGGCTCAGTGGTTAAGAGTGCATTCTCCTCTTGCAGAGGACCTCAAATCAGTTCCTAGCATCCATGTCAGGTGACTAACAACTGCTTCTAACTTCATATAACTCCTGCTCCCGGAGGTGCAGTACCTTTGGCCTCAGAGGGCACCCATATACATATGTACATATTCACACATACACATAAAAATAACACAGATCTTAAAAAATATTTGTACGTATACATACATACACATTCAGAGCTAGGTGTAGTGATGCATGGCTGTATTCTGAGCCTTTTGGAAGGAAAGGCAGAAGCATCAAGAGTTCAAGGTCATGTCATTCTCAGCAACATATCAAGTTGGAGGCCAGACTGGAATGCATGAGACTGTGTTTCAAAAAACAAAACAGAACACGAATAACTATATATAACTATACACACACACACACACACACACACACACACACACACACACACACACACATAGATATGTACTTTGCACAGGTAAATAATTTTAATTGTTCTCTCCTCTCTCTCTCTCTCTCTCTTTCTCTCTCTCTCTCTCTCTCTCTTTCTCAAAGTCTTCCACATTTGTCTAAAAACAGCATGGTTGGTCTTTCACAGCTGTATCCTACTCCTGGTACCAAGTTTATTTAGGACACATACATACACTTTGCAAAGAGGTAAATAATTCTTTTTGAGACATGGTTTCTCTACATAGCCCTGGCTGTCCTGGAACTTACTATATAGACCAGGATGGCCTAGGATTCAGAGATCCACCTGCCTCTGCCTCTTGAGTGCTGGGATATAGAGGTAAATAATTTTAATCATTCTTATTATTGCAGAATCCTTTCCTGTCTCTGTATTTCACAAAGCATAAAGTATTTAAAGTATTCCTATGTTTGGGTGGTTTAAAGGCAGAGCCAGAAAAAAAATGTCTCTAAGGTTTGGTATTGGGAATAGATCAAATGGCAGTTGAGTAATTCCCAACTTTATAACACACTTAAGAAAAACAGATGGCCCACACCTTTAATCCCAGCACTCAGGAGGCATAGGAGGAGGATCTCTGTGAGTTTGAGGCTACCCTGGTCTACAGAATGAGTTCCAGGACAGCCAGGGCTGCACAGAGAAACCTTGTCTTGAAAAAAACAAAAAAGAAAACAAAGAAAAAAACAGAGCATTAAAAAAAATCAGATTATTCCTGAAATAGATCTATTCATTTAGAAATCAAAACAATAAAATAAATTATATGTGGTAACTTTTACTGTATTAGTCAATGCAGATATTATAATGTAGGAAAATGAGTGTTAGTGCTTATTCTGTACTTTGCCTTGGTCTTAGAAAAAGTGGGGGCCAAAATGCTGTCTTTTTGTGAGAACAGGCACTAAAACAGCACATTTCCTGGGAATTTATTATCACCTGACCGGGCATATTGTCTTCATCTATTCCAAATTAAGTTCTAGGATGTTGAGAGCTCACCTTGTGACAAGAGCTATATTAGGCTCAGAGTAACTGTGAATTTTTTTTTTAATTATCACTTTACTCTGAGAAACTGCTTCAGCAGTTGCTCTCATTCAGGGAGAGGTTGAAGAAATCTGTGATCTCCTCGATCCACCCAAGTGACTTCATAATACTAATGTCTAGTTCAGGAGAATTGGGTAGAATTATGGCATATTCTGGTCTTCTACCTTAATAAGTATTGCTAAAATTTGCCAATCACCATGTTACTGGGTTTATATTTTTTAGAAAAAATTTGTATTGATTATTATTTTATTATTATGTGTGTGTCACTCATGCCAGGGTGCACATGAAGGTCAGGGGTAGTTTTGGGGAATAGGTTCTCTCCATCCACTCTGTGGGCCCAGGGACTGGATGTAGGTTTAGACTTGATGGCACATGCCTTAACTTGCTGAGCCATCTTGCTGGTCCAGCCCCACATTGTTTATCTCATTCAACACTCACAGCTCTTCCGTCCATTCTAATAAGATGTTATAGTGAAGTGAGAGCTGACATTGAAATATAAGATCCTGTCTTTTTGGTTTGGAGATG